TCACTAGATGAGTTGCGCATCTCTGTCTTCACAATGCCAAAGCGGTCGACACTTGCCAACTGAGCTGTGGTCTGTCCACCACGCAGCCTTGTGAAAAACCAAAGAACTTCATATGCCAGGTCGCCTGAAAAAGAATGGAGGGAATTGACATGGTAATTAAAAAAAGGGAAACGGCTGAAACAACTCTTGTGGTTCTCAAGTTTACTTATATATTCTGACATTTGGTATTATCATTTTTTTGCTATTTTTATTAACATTTTTTGTTTATACATGTGTAGTGTGTGTGTATATATATATATATATATATATATATACACATAGACATATATACACACATATATACATACATATACATATTGTACATATTTTTTTATCAACAACCAAATATTCAGTGTCGGTTTGTTTTATATAGTATAAAGACTTTTTTAAAACGTTAATATGTGTGATTCGATTTTATCCATAAAACATTTAATTTAAATTGTTTTACATGTGAAGATAGTACAATAATTGTTTACATTTTATAATAACCCTGGGAATGTCAAAGACCTTGTAGCAGTTACAGTCACTGTTCCATTTACACATGTTATACTGCCTAACAGCCTGATAAGGAAAAGGACAGAGAAGTCAGGAGGAACAGATGTAGATCTAATTGTAAGTCAGAGTTGTTCTGTTTAATCAGCTCTCCACCTCTGGGAAAGTTAAACAAGTGACAAATATCACCGAGGCTGACTGGAGGCCTGGGCCCAGACAGTCTTTGTTGAACCCAGTCAAAACAAACCAAAGGAAATTCTGCTAACACTCTCTGAACTACACAGTGTCAACCACATTACTTAGTAATTACCTTCAGGTGATATTTTATTTAAAAAATGGTTTTAATGTTTTATGTATTTTATTTTCATACTTTGCTGAAAGTGATGCCTTTTTTTTAATCAGGTAAATCTTTAACTGCAGTACCCCGATGACACTATAGTTCTATACATTCAAAGATCAGTGATAATTGTGCATAGGTTGGATAGACAGACAGAGAGACGAACAGACACCACAGGAGTTCCCTTCGGGAAATTAAGTTACTTGTTTTAGCTAATAAACAAAAATAAAAAAAATAACAAAAAAGAAATCAAACAAACAAAACCAATATATACTGTATATATAAACTATAAAAGTATATGTATATAGTATAGTATATATATATTTCGTGTTTTTGATTATCCTCAACAAGTTCCAACATTAATTATCAGCGCTGATGACATTAACAAGTTAATTGGGTTAATTGATCAGTGAAGATGAATCTGATACATTTTTAATACATTTAGATGCAGTGGCACACTGTATAATCCAATTTCTCCATCCGTCCACTTATCGTTGCACTAATTCACAGCCTGTACACAATGTTATTATTGCATACACTGCAGGAGCCTAAAACACCATCTAGACACCCAGCATGTGTTCTACAACACATCAACCAAACACAGGCTAATGATTGAAATCCACCTACTCTATGGAAAACCAGTTGTACACAGTCGTAGTGCATATTTGGGTATGATTTGAAATATGCTTTTGCATATTTTTCTTGATGTTTTGATCCATATTAATAACTTCATCTTTTGTCTTTGTTGTCTTTCTGTTGCCATGATGACAATGACTAGGCTGATAAATCTTGATAATTGAATCAGAATTAATTCTGATTAATCTGATTAAATCATTTAATAGATTTACAGCCCTAATTATTATCACAAAAATAAGTCAAACTCGTGACAAATTTGTAAATCAAACGCACACAAAAAAACAACTGTCTCAGACACATGTGCACCATGGGAACCCTCACAACCACCTGTTGCTTTGTCTTTTGTCCAAAAAAAAAGAGAGAAAAGAACAATGGATGCACGGTAGGCTTATGATTAGAGAGAGAGAAAACAGGGAGCAAACAGAACTGGTAAGAAAAGATGTAAAACAAAGGTTTAAAGTGTTTCAAATGTGTGAAGAGAGGGCGAGTGTGCTTCAGAAAAAAAGCAAAGGAGAAAAAAAAGAGTGGGGGAGTGAGAAAGCCAGAGGCCAATACTAGTCATTAGTCTGTCAGGAAGAGAGGGGCTTTAGTGGCTAATAGTGCACAGGCACAAACACTGGGTGACGCACAGTTAAAACATGAAACATGAACACACAGAAATATTTGGATTTTATCTTATACATCTATCTCCTCATGTTTTTCACTCTTTCTTGTTTTTCCACAACAAATGTGTTTTTCTGATATCAATTTATACATCAACACTTGATACATTAAATTTATGAGAGCAACAATCAACGTTTATTGCCAATATCTAAATAGAGAAACTGAAAATTGACATGATTTTTGTTTTACTATTTTTACTCATTTTTGTTTATTATTATTTATATAAAATTGTCTGGAGAGGATTAGCATTTTATGGCACACCCACTGAGGTGACAATGCCACCCTTGTCTGCTGAGAACGTACCATTAGCCGTACACTAATGGCCTCACTTCTGGGGGGTGTTTCAGAGGAATCTGATCCCCCAGGCTGACTCACAGTTCTGTGTCCACAGCTGTTCTTCTACTCAGGGGAGACTGACTGCTCACCTCCCAACCCTGCACTCCCTTTCCAGACCTCCTTCCACCCGTATCACAAAAGGTCACGAACCTTCCAGCTCTCACCACAACAGTACCTTAAAAACTACAGACTACGTTTGCACGTCTACATTTCTTAGATTGCTCATTTACCAGTGACAATCGAGACTAAGATTCTGAGATTTACTCACAACTTGGTCACTGTGTGTGACTGTGCAGCCACAGTTTGACAGACTGTAACTCTGATGAACTCTTATAGATAAGACTGAATGTAAATGAAGTGCACTCATTACCCAGACCAGTCAAAGGCAACCATTTAATGTTTCTCAGATTAAATTTGTAACCACAACTTTGTGTCTCCACACTGGTAGACAAACATCTAACGTTTTTATGCCTGAATATTTATTTGATTAAATGGACTGGTTTAAGGAAAATGTCATTTGGTTTGTCTGTCATTCAAAATTTCAGGTTTCAGAAATCAGAAAAAAAACATTATCATATCAAATTGCTTTGGTAAATGCCGACATGAAACCAAGCTAGGTATTTAGGTATGTGCTACTGTAAAGAGTAGAAGTACAATGGTTATTAAAACTAAGTATTGGGTTTTTCTTTTAAGGAAATCACTAAACCTACAACAACTTAGTAATAGTTCATTTTCAATATTTATAAAAAAAAACAAACAGGTGTTGATATCTATAAACTTTAAAGCAAAGTATGACAAGCAGTCACAGGCAGTGTCCCCGGCTGCATTGGACGACAGCAAGAGGCATATCAGCCATTTACTACAAACTTTATGTAGACGATAGATGCATTCCATGTACACTATGTTTAACTACATGATCCCCAATGAAAAAATAATTAGATTTGGATTTAAAGGCTAACTATCTGGCAAAAAGTGTTTCCCCAAAAGAGTTTTATATCTGTTTTTGTAGCCAGGAGCACTAAAAAACACTAAAAGGAGTTTTTAAATGTATGAATATTTTAACTGTAACTGTGATTATAGTACAATTAATAATAATAATAATCTTAGGCAGTCAGAGCCAGGCAAAACATGTAGCAAGATCCAAGGGATCCATTCAAGAACCTGAGGAATTCTTGCAAACTGGTAAACGTCTATGGCTTTTTAGCCGCAGTCTGACAGTCGATAACTCCCATACATTAATTTTGTAACAATTTTTAAACATACTTTGATTTATGTTAACTAAGATTCATGTAAAATGATGTTGATGCAACAACCTACCATACCAACTGTATTGGGGTCATCCTAGGACTGACAAATATCTCTCTGATTTGGCTGGAAAATCCACAGAATTTTTAAATTGTCTACTGTTTGGGGTGAAATTTCTACATACTATTTAACTCCTTGTTTTTTGTATTGTACTTATTGGATTAGAGAAATTTAGAGAAATTTAAAGCTACTCCGAAGATCCGGCGACCAAGTTTCGACTAAATGTTGCCCAAGTTTCGACTAAATGTCGACCAAGTATCTTCCGGGGGAAGATACTCTGAAGATCCATCGACCAAGTTTCGACTAAATGTTGCCCAAGTTTCGACTAAATGTCGACTAAGTGTCTTCCGGGGGAAGATACTCCGAACATCCGTCGACCAAGTTTCGACTAAATGTCGACCAAGGATCTTCCGGGGAAGATACTCTGAAGATCCATCGACCAAGTTTCGACTAAATGTCGACCAAGTGTCTTCCAGGGGGTTTTGGTCCGAAGATCCGTAGACCACGTTTAGGCCAAAGGTGGCCCAAGGGTCTTCCGGGGGGGGGGGGGTCCGAAGATCCGTCGACCAAGTTTCAACCAAATGTTGACCAAGTTTCGGTTAAATGTCGCCCAAGTGTCCTCCTGGGGAAGACACTCCGAAGAGCCGTCGACCAAGTTTCGACCAAATGTCGTCCAAGGTCCTTCCGGGGGGGGGGTGGTCCGAAGATCCGTCGACCAACTTTCGACTAATTGTCGACCAAGTGTCTTCCGGGGGGAGACACTCCGAAGATCCGATCCATCGACCAAGTTTTGACTAATTGTCGACCAAGTGTCTTCCGGGGGAAGACACTCCGAAGATCCGTCGACCAAGTTTCGACTAATTGTCGACCAAGTGTCTTCCAGGGGGTTTTGGTCCGAAGATCCGTCGACCAAGTTTCGACCAAATGTCGACCAAGTGTCTTCCGGGGGAAGACACTCCGAAGATCCGTCGACCAAGTTTCAACCAAATGTTGACCAAGTGTTTTGGATTAGAGAAATTTAGAGAAATAAAAAAGAAAGAAAGAAAGAAAACTCCTATAATTAAAATAGGAGGAAAGGTTGGTACAGGTTAAGCTAAGAGTTTTGAATAGGCCTGCATATGGTATGATTCTGCTTAGATGAAGAGTTAAGTAAGGTCATGTGTTTGTGTTGGTGTGTTTGGACATTTTTAACACCTTCAACTTTCCTCCTGGGATTAATCAAGAGATTTCTAATACGACTTCATTTCCACAGGCAGCCATTTTCCTTTTATGAGCTTATGAGCTCAGACATGATATTCTATTAGAAATGCTCTGTA